GTCCGTGAGCTTTGCAGATCAGCTGCTCAGCTGGTTGGAAGTGAGAGGAGTTAAACCCCACGAGAGAGGGGAACAGGTTGGATATTAGGAAAAATTTCTTCACTGGGAGAATGGTTCAACATTGGAAAGGGTTCCCCAGGGAAGTTGTGCACTCACCATCCCTGGAAGTGTTCAAAATACGAGTAGAAGTGGTACTTTGTGATGTGGTTCAGTGGACACAGTGATATTTGGTTCAAGTTTGGACTTGATGATCTTGAAGGTCTTTTCCAACCTCAATGATTCTATGATTCTATGAGCCTGGCTTTTACAAAGGGAGATTTCTCTGATTGCTAAGTGAATAAATTAATTTATGTGTCTAAATGCAACTAGCAAATGCTACAGTGGGAAAGGCTTCCTAACCAGAATCATCAATCAGGCAAAAATAAACTGTTGTGTGCATTGCATGTCCTCTTTTTTTGGACTGAGCAAGAGACCCATCACACAACACCAATAATAAAAATAAGACTGTGTTTTATTTATGATTTAGCTCTCAGTATGCTGGAGAGGGACTTTGGACAAGGGCCTGGAGTGACAGGACACGGGGAATTGCTTCCTACTGCCAGAGGGCAGGGATAGATGGGATGTAGGGAAGGAATTCTCCCCTGTGAGGATGGTGAGGCCCTGGCACAGGGTGCCCAGGGAAGCTGTGGCTGCCTCAGCCCTGGAAGTGTCCAAGGCCAGGTTGGACAGGGCTTGGAGCAACCTGGGCTGGTGGAAGGTGTCCCTGCCCATGGCAGGGGGTGGGACTGGATGATCTTTAAGATCTCTTCCAATCCAAACCATTTTATGATTCCATAACGTGGGAGATGCTGAAAGGCCTTTTGGTGTTTCAGGAGCCCCACGTTCCCAAACCCTGTGCCTGTCTCTGGTGGGGCAGTGCAGAGAACACGAGGAGAGCTCGTACAGGGGAGGCCTGAAGTGCTTGGAGTAGTTCATTTTTCCTCACTGCAAAACCAGCCCCAGTAGATGTTATTTGAGAAGCTCCTTGGTCACATGAAGCCATAATGAATTGCACCATTTGCCCACACACATCACTGTCTCTGCAGACCCTCTGAGAGCCTCCTTAGCCAGCCAGGTTCCCTGCCATCCTTTGGGATGGGTTTTCAAAGGGTCTGTGCCCACAGCACAGTTTTTTGACTTTACTCTCTGTGGGAGCAGATGTGGTGAGTGCTGACTGCTCACAGAGAAGTCCCACTTAAATGTCCTCTCTATTTCTATGCAGCAGAGTCAGGAGATGAGCCCAGGAATCCTTGTGCAGCCTCCCTTGATAAAATTATATCATGTCCATCCTCTTTCATTTAGTCACTCCTGCTGGTGAGACTTAATTTTAGACTCTGCTGGCTTTTGTCAGTAGATCTCAGGATATATTATCTATGCTTTATTTTATTTTGTGCTCATCTGGGCAGTATCTGGAGTGTATAAAATGGGGTCTCCTGGAACAACTTTATTGCTTCAGCCCCTTCCTTGAATGAGTTTTTGGCGCGAGTATAATTTTTCCCTCGTCTCCGACGAAAAGCAATTTCCTTTCTCCCCTGCACGTCCTTCAGGCTCTGGTGATTCTGCCCTGCAAAAAAAACAACTTTGTTGACCCATTCTCTCTCCTGGTGGTGGCAAATGCTCCTCACCTGACCACGCCAGCCCAGCACATCATCTCGGAGAGCAGCAGGGAGAGCCGCCGCCTCCCAGAGAGATTATTTGCTCTCCTCTCGAAGGTGATGTCAGAGCACTATCAGAGGGTTGTTATGGTTCCTTCACCCCTTGAAATTGTTCCTTGCAGTGAGGAAATGGTGAAATTGGAATGGGAGATGCTGGGGTGCTGACAGGACTTTGATAGTTGTAATTTTTATTTAGCTGGTTGTCTTGCTTGCAGAGTCAGTGATGTGTTACCAACCTCGAGCCAAGAGGGATGATACAAGGAGGGAAAAGTGTCATCCTCATTTTTTATTTTTTCTGTTTTTTTTTTTTTTTTTTTTTTCAGGGGATCAAGAAGTATCTTTTAATCTCCACTGAACAGACCTGCGTTTATAACTGAGTTCCATCATTTTTTTTTCTTTAAAAAGGAATCTTATCTATTTGTCTGGGTTAGTGAAAGTGCTGCTCGGCAGAAATGTTTGAGCTGTAACGTTGTGAGGGATGGAGGGTTTGCCTCATTATCCTTCTCCCTTAGATTTTTAGAGGGCAAAAGGCAGGAAATTTCTCTTGATCTAAATGAGAATTATAAAATTTCTTCTGCTTTGGAAGCAGTTTTGCAGACTGACACAGGACTTCCAGAAACCAACATCAGGAATGGTTTGGTCTTTCAGCTTTCTTTGTTTTCACTTTGTTGTGTAGGCTGGAGGTTTGGAAATGCTTCTTTTACTTTCATGAGGAAGACTCAGAGGATTTTATTTTCCAATACGGTTTCCATTGTGTTCATGGGAAAAGATTTGTTTTGCTAAACAGAGTATAAACACAGCCCCGTGGCAGATCCCTATAAAAATCAGCTCAAGTCAATACTGATCTGCTTTTCCCACATTCTCACTGGGAAATATTTCTTCTAATTTCCCTGGCATCTCTGTAAACCTAGAGAATGAAAAATGAGAGAAGCATTTGCCCCCCCCTGAGCTTCATGGGCCACATGTTGCTCCAACAGAGCAGAGAGTGAGAGCAACTCCAAAGAGTAAGGGAGGAAATATTGGAGAATGTAGAGCTCTTGTCTCAGATAAGGAGTTTGGAATAACTTAGGATAATGTAATTTAGTTTGTTTTGAATGACTTTAAAATCAGAAAGCCTGGGAGAAAGGCTCCATGTACCAGTCAGTGTAAATCTGGAAGGTGGCCATCAGCTCGAGGAGGAGAACTCTGCTATACATTTGTATTACTGGAAGCAGATGTGGGCTTAGGGCTCCAGCCAAAATTTCAGAGTATAAAAAGAATGATCTGTCCTCAATTCTTTGTTGGTCAGAGAGGGTGGGATGAATCAATACTTGTGCATTAGTGCTGGGAAGGTGGCTTTCAGGGCTGATGTGTCTGACAGAGATGCTGGTTCAGTCCAGGATGATAAGAAAATCAAACCCACTGCTGCCTGCGTGCAGCCAGGTACCTGCTGCTCTCCTGCATGGAAAACCTGCAGCTTCCTGGGGCTCAGGAATGTTGGTTGGTGGGAGGGCATATGATCATACAAAATCATACAAAATGATTTTTTAATGGTTACTTGGAGAAGCTCAGCTGCACATAGTTTCCATCCCCCAAAAATCCATGTCCTCTGCAGAGCATCACCCTGGGACACCCTCAGCTTCACGTGCAGTGACCCATGAGCAGATGTTTGGCTCACAAGCAGGAGGGTGGCCTGGCTTGTGATATACAACACTGTGATGTACAGGAGTCCCACCCATCAGTCAAATTCTTATGCCACTGGCACAGGTTGCCCAGAGAAGCTGTGGCTGCCCCATCCCTGGAATTGTCCAAGGCCTGGTTGGACAGGGCTTGGAGCAACCTGGGCTAGTGAAAGATGTCCCTGACCATGGCAGGGGGTGGAATGGGGGGAGCTTTAAGGTCCCTTCCAGCCCAAACCATTCCAGGATTCATTGTATGATTTATGGTGTGGTTGAAAAGGGACCCATCCATCAGGGTGAGCCTCCAACACCTTTTCTATCAGTGAGGAGGTACATGAACACCCTGCATGTGGGGAATCCCCCCAGTCCCCTCCCAGACCCTCACCAAGACATTGTAAGGCACAGATTTTATTTTATTGTTTTAAATAAAAGATAAACCCTCTCAGTAAGGAGGATTATGCTCTCTCCCTCCTGAATTTTGGAGACATACCTGTGATTTGTTATGGCTCTTTTGTCTGGGAAGATTTGTTCCTCAACAAGCAGTTTCAGGCTAATCTTTACTACTTCAAATTTTGTTCTAAGATCTTCTTTAGACAGAACTAGGTCGAGTAGATTGCAATTGCCTTGTGTTCTTAAAATCACTTTGTCAGAGACTCCTAAATAACACATTGCCTTATTCATAAACAGCCTGAGCAAGCCAGGATTTGCAGGATGTTCAGTGTGTGACAGTGATGTGTTACTCTGAGCCACGAGATTATCAAAGGGTTCCACTGCCTGAGCCACCAGCAGAGAGAAAATATGATCAAGAATTATTTGAGCCTCATTTATTTAATGATCCGACAGTAAAAATGAAACCTCCAAACTTGTGAGGGTTGAAAAGCAAATTGCAGGGAAGGTTTTTTCTCAAATCTGTAGAAATCCAAAGCCCTTCACTGGGCAGAAATAAATTTGGCCATGGGTTCATATATAAATTGCAGCTTCATGAAGTGTATGATGTTGCAGGGGGGTTTCTATGAGCCGTGGATGTGGTGATTTCTGATGTGCATGACTGGGAGCAGAATCTCACATATAGTACCTGGGGTTTGACCATATGAAGGGGAATTTAAAAGATTAACAGTAATTCAAATACTGATAATCGGGAAGGAAGAAAATGAGCAATATTTTAGTTGTTGGTCTTGCTCACTCCTACCCTAGCTAATAAAAAGCCAATTTTTCCAGCTTCTACCTTTCATGTAATCTGAAGTTCTGGGTTCCTGCACATCAGAAGGAGCAGCTCTATGGGCTGAAAGTAGAGAGATTGACTCTTAAAAATAATTTTCTTATTTTTACTCTGGCCATCACCTGTTACTTGAGCTTAGAAACATCACCATAGAATCCTAGAATGGTTTGGGTTGGAAGGGACCTTAAAGACCACCTCATTCCAACACCCCCCTGCCATGAGCAGGGACACTTCCCACTAGCCCAGGGTGCTCAGGGCCTCACCCACTGGTCTTTACGAAGCCTTGGCTGGTCCTGTCAGGAGAGAGGCCAAGGGAGGCAATGGGGACCAAATTCCAGCTACACTTTCTCATCTCAAACTGAGAAAACTATGTCAGCTCCCTCCAGCATGGTCTCACTCCTGTTTTGCTCTCCCTCTCTGTCTCCACAGCCGTTGAGTCGCTGCATTCCTTGAACGACCAGATCTCCCATTTTATTGTCAACAAGTCAAAAACCCTGGATGAGGAGGAAGAAGCCTTTTTGCCCAGCGAGAAGGAATCTCTGAAAAGTGCCATGATGCTGATGAGGCACCTCCTGATGGATGCACAGGTAAGGAATCAGTGAGCTCCCACCTGTTAGGATATGAGGAGGGCACATTGCAGGGCTGCAGGGGAACACGTCATCTTTATGTGTGGTTTCAACAGTGGAGAACATTAGTCCCTGACACTTCTTTAGAACTGATTTTGGCTTCTGAAATCTGCAGCTGTGGGAAGGACATCTCATTGCACAGAGTGTGCAGCTTGTGCTGGGGCTGAGTCTCAGATTCAGGGCTGAAAATGGCTCTTAATTTCAGGAGAAGATACAGCAATGTGCCCATTGATGGGAATACAGCAATAACCCCATTGAGGGAATCCAGCATCAGCACTAGCTGACTGGAAAATCATTTTTCCACTAAGCATCTGTGCTGAATGCCAGTTTTAGAAGTGCCAGACTCATAACTGAGCTGTTGGTTTAGCCAAGCTCTAAAGTGCCAGTTAGAAGCCATGAAATGATGTGCAGATGTTTCTTTGTGCCTTTGCTGCTTCGACATAAAATCCCTCTCCCTGCAGCTTTGCTGCGTTGCAGTGTTTCCTTCAGCCTGCAAAACACACCCTTTGAAACATCCATTATATTTGCCTTTTTATATTCTCTTTTGGTCTTTATTTGCAAAGCCTGGATGGAAAATGGCAGCTTGTATGAGAGGGTTGTTTTAGAAATGGGGTGATCTCCTCTCCCTTCTCTGGCAAGGCCTAAAATCAGGTAAAGGAGGCCTGAGGTTGTCCTGAGCTCTCCAGGACTGGGGATTGCCTGTTTTATTCCCATATTCTCCCATTGGAGCCTGGTGGTTATCTTCTCTCAAAACCTTTGGTCCTAATTTCTTTGGCTAACAGGGATTGTGGTGCATGTGGGAAGTGCCCGGGAATCCCTGCTGTTAGTGAGACGTGGTTTTATGTTCTCATTTTTGGACAGGGAGTCAATCCAGGCTTTGGGGTCTGTGGGATTGCACAGGGAGCAAAGCATGACAGCTGTGCTCAGGATTTCATGTCTGTGATGGTGGTGCTGGTCTCATTTTGGTGCATCTTTAGCCAGTTATGCTCCATTTACCCCAAACTAATGGAGAACACGAAGGGTTAGGTTGTGCATTTGGGTTTGCTCCCACAGTCAGTGCTGCAGGTAGGAACAGAATCATATAATCATGGAATGGAAGGAACCTTAAAGCTCATCTCCTTCCACCCCCTGCCATGGGCAGGGCCACCTTCCACTAGCCCAGGTTGCTCCAATTCTCCTCCAACCTGGCCTTGAACACCTCCAGGGATTTGGAATAGCCAGGCATGAGAGAAGGCAGATGCTTACAGGCATCTGCATGTGGCAGATTAAAATAAATATGGGGCAAAAAGGTACCTGTTGATAATCCCCTCGTGCAGGAGTTCTTTTTTTAGCACCTAAGAATTGCTTTCCTACTTATCAGCTGTCCTGAATGCATATTAATAGGTGCCTGTGATAGCATCTCCTAATCAGTCTCTCTAATAACAATGGGGAAATGTCAAGTGCTCCTGCATCCTGTGATGCTCCTGGAACCCTTCCCAGAAAGGACAGGATGTTTTTTGTTGCCTGGGATTTTCAGGTTGAAAGAATGACAAGGTGGGAAGTGGTAGTGGTGAGTAAAAGGATGGAACTAAACATGTGATAACATCCAGTAAAAAAAAAAACAAACCAAAACCCAATAAAATAAATCCTCTGAGGAATGAAAGAAACATGAGTCTGGCAGGAATATCAACAAGAATATCCCCTCCAATGTGTGCATATAAATCCTTGCTAACCCTGACTGCAGAGTGCCCTATGGCTGTAATCACACAGGAGGAAAAAATATCACCAATGCAATTATTTCCCTTCCCTTCCCTGCTCTCTTTGCTTCCCAGCTAGTGGTTTTATGGGAAGATGGAGCCCTGCAGCTCTGAATGGTATTGATTGTGTGAAGCTCTGTACAAAGATAAGCTGAAATCCAGCGTGGCCCTTTCACTCCCCTCTCTTGGCATGGACCTGATTTTAACTGGTAGATAATTTGAGGGAAAGAACATCCAACGTGAAACTTTGGGTAGAAATCAGTTGGACTGCTAACCCAGCAGGAGTGACTGGTCAGAGGGGACAGTTGATGGGCATTTCTCACTTCCCTGCCATTATTAATCCACTTTGCAGAGGCAGGGGTGGTGTGGGGATGATGCCTCGTGCCTGCTGCCCTTCTGGCATGGAGAGAAATAGGAGACATTTTTAGAACTCTGCCTGGACACACACCAGGAGATGTGGCTGAAGCAAAGGATCCTCCACGGATCTAACTTTGATCTTGAGTCATTTCATTGGCTTGAGATGAATCATGAAACCAATCAACACAGTTTTCCACTTTGGAAAATGCTCTGTGAGGGTTTTCAGCGGAGGCATCGCTGGGACCATGAGCACGTGCCTGTGACAGGGCAGGTCCCTGAACTCAGCAAGGTGTCACTGGGAAAACAAAATGGCAAGGATGCTCACCAGCTTGGAGAAGGGAAACCACAGCACAGAGGCACTGGGGAGCTGGTCTGGGATTTCACAGCTGTACTTTCTGATAGTCAGAATGTGGACTCTGCGCTCCTGAACATCAGCCCAGTCCATTAATTAGATTGTATTTATTTCTCCCTTGGCTTCTTGGAAGAACCTCTTTTCCCCATCTGTTTTGTCAATTTACTCTACTTCTCACTGATTTTCATGCCCTAGTTTTGTGGTAGTGATGTACAAGCAACTGTGGCAGCAGTGACTGTGGGTTTATAGGGGAAATTTGCTGTGCTGGAGGTCACTGGTTGGTAAACACAGCGTAGAGAAACAGCTGTGGAATGGGGGGGAAATCATCTCATCTCCCATATACCATTGTTTGCTATGGAGAATGGGGCATTTCCTTGTGTATTTTACACTCCTCCTGCCCCGAGAGATGACCTGGATGGCAGATGAGGTGGGGGAATGGTGCTGGGGGCCGTGGTGTGGGCTGGCTGAGAGGCTGCTGACCTGTCAGCCCCGTCAGCGGCGTTGAAGGGCACACAGGGATAGGTAATAAGCTGTGTGGAGCCCCTCAGCAATAGGCTGTCAGCTCAAATTCTGCCCAGGGAAGACAGTGATTTAATGAAAGTCATTACAACCTGCAGGATCTCTTGACCCCAATGGTTTCCATCCGTTCCACACCCTGGATAGGATTTCCTCACCACGAAAACACCCGAGCAAAGGGATTGCTGTGGCTGCTGGGCTGGCAGAGCTCTGGAAAAGGAGCATTGCCCTCCCTCCGGGTGAGGGTTGGGGCTCTGCATCCAGATTGCTCATTTCTGGTGTTTGCTTCAGGTTTGCAGCAGGTTCCTGACGTCAGGCACCACCTTCCCCTGAGCAGCACTGAGTCCTCATCTCCACAGCCCACCCCAGGGGGAGTGGGAATGGTGTCCTGTGAACTGAAAAGTGTGCTGAGACAATGCAGGTGCATGAAGGCAGGTGGAAAGGAAAGGTGCATTTATCCACCGTGACGTTTTCCATCCTCCACATGGTGCAGGAGAGAACAAACAATTGCCCTCCTGCCAGACAGCCCCTCACAGGACACAGCGGCCTGTGATACACTGTCACTGCTGTCAATCACTCCTGACAGGCCTATTATGCTCGGGAAGGATGTTTGCTCTGTGCCTGTTGTTTTATAATCCTCAGAGGTGGAATTTTATAGCCTGGCAGTGGGGTTTTTTTTTCCCCTCAGAGGTTTCCCTAAGCAGGATTTATTGCTTCCGAGGCACATGTGACGTGAATCCATCACACCTTCAAACTTTAAAATCGCCCCCCCCCCCCCCCCAGCTTTGCCTAAATTACTTTTGGGTTTGTTTTGCTCGGCTTTCTGTTCCTAATTGCTGCAGTGAGAGACTGGACTGGCGTGGAGCAGAAGATACAAGGGCTGAGTCATGTGCATCAGCTCTAATCCAGCTGTTTGCCCAAGGAATTTGTCTAATGAATAGAAAAGGTGCATCCAGGCACCAGTACCAGCCTTAGACAGAGAATATTCTCTGTCATATGAAGGAACACATGTAATTTGGCTGGATGCTTGCCCTGAAAAGCCAAGCTTTCAGGAAGTTTAGTCCATTTAGTTCCTTCCATTAAGGGTTTAATTGACTTCAAGTGGCTTTGAAGTTCTTGGGGAGAAATCCCATCTCCTCAGTTCCTCTCCCAGCAGTGCTGTGATTAATCACCAGGTGTTGTTACAGGGGGAATGAAGAGACATCGAGACCCTCTTTAGGTTTGGATTGGACTTTTTGAATGCAATCATATCACAAATGATGACTTAAGAACAAGATCAGGTTTTGGGGGCAATTGGCTTAAATTTATTTGGATTTCATTTGCTGTCTAAGCATGAGAACGTGAGGGCATAGAGAAATTCAGTTGTTTCTCTGCTGAGGGGTTCATTTCTTCCATAGGTAAAGACAGAAGATCAACCTGCTGGTACTTCTAACCTAAACTGTCAACAAAACAGATGGTCATTGCCCAAAAATCATAGGGGAAAGAACCCTTTCATTAACATTTAGAGGCATTTTTTCTTTAAATTCTGGTGTTTCAGCTTTTTTTGTGTGTGTGTTCTTGTTTTTTTTTTTTTTTTACTTTACTCTGGACCAAATGGCTCCAGCACTCATTGGCTAGTGGGACAAACTTTTAGCAGGTGCCTACTAAGACAGGTCTGTAGATGTTGCTGGAAGTTGCTACCAGTTTGGGTAGAGGATTTTGTCCTGGTTTACTTAGGAAAATATTTTGAGTATTTGTGCTGTCACCACCATCCTGTAAATAAATCATTTAAGCTGAGAATCTTTCAATTTTTTGGAAATAAGGAAAACCTACTTGGCATGACTTACATTTAGCCATTCAACATCCCACCAGCTGTTGAGCTTGGGGTTTTTTTATATTAACCTCCATTTTCTAACCAGAAAAAAAAACATTTTCTTAAACCCTTTTACATTATAATCTCTTCTGCAGTATTCCCTGTTGTCTTTCTGGGCAGGCTGTTGCTGAGGTGGCCGTGCTAATCACTGCAGAACCAGTAGCAGGGCAGTGCTATTTCCCCAGCTGACCTTTAGAAATAGTTCTTATTCTCTGCAGAGGTCTGTTGTATAAAACCAACCATGTTGCTGCAATACTTTGCTACTTAAACACTTCCCACCATCTGTTGCTCAGACTTTTAGCAGACAGCTTCAGGAGCAAAGCCCCACAACCTTTATTTTCACACGAGTGGGTCATATTAATATCAACAGGAAGAGCAGGGAAGGGAAGCTTTGCTCTGTGTTTCAATAAGCTGAAATT